TTGAAAAATATCAAATTTTCAGTGAAATTCATGTTTTTTTCTCTCAAATGTTCCAGACTTTCTACGTGTTCTCGATCCAAAGGTCTACAATCAAATTCAAAAACAGAACGCTGCTCTTGCAGAAAGTCAAAGTCAACAACCGTCAAAGAAAGGCGAAGAACATGTTGCGGATGCGATCATTAAACACACATTGAGTACCAACCACCTCCACTTTCCCGGTCAATGCAAATTCGAAAACGGCTTATTCGTCTTTCCTGATTACAAAGTCCAACTGAAATTTGGCATAATCGATTTCATCCGTTCGCTTTGTAAATCACCCTTTGATTCGGTTTTCTACGATGGAAAATACGTTTCGGTTTTGCTCATGGCAATCATCGGCAAAAACGATTTGGCAAATAAGCCCAATAAGAAAAAAATGGACTTCATCAAAGGTGTGTATTCATATGTCTTTTGAATATTTCATAGTTTCTGAAATAGATTTTATTTTCTGATAAATTTTTCATGTTTTATTTTCAGGTGCGTTCGTCAAACGAGTCGGATCTGATGCTCTACGTTTGATGCGATTCATGTCCTATGTGGAAAAAAGGAAGCAACAAATGTGTTCAAATTAAATTCCATTGAATGGACTCAAACATCAGATTTGTGAATGTTACTTTAAGCGAACTTTATTTCTTCGAAACAAACATAACTAAACTGTGCAACTATAAACATGTAAACCTCTTTGAATCGAAAATAAATAATGAAATGTACACTGATGGCTCAGAGTTACTTAATAACGAATGGGTTTTTGTTTGATTGAAACCATTTTGAATCGAAAATAAATAATGAGAATGAAATGTAATCTAATGGCTCTGAGTCGCAATGTTGCGATTGGATTTGCTTTTCATTGGCCGTGGAAGCTCCACATTTTCATCGACGAGCACAACTTCATCCGTTTCATCTTCATTTTCTTCGTCGCTTTCATCCAGAATTGCTTGAATTATGTCGATGTCATCGTCATCTAATTGAGCAATGTTTGCTTGATTGTTGTTCGGTGTTGCGAACTGACCGTACGCCAAACCCTTTTCCAACGAATCTATTGAATATCATTTTCAATTGTGAGTAAACGAAAATCAAATACATATAATCGAAGTTAATTCATTA